GTGAGAGAAAGCCTGGCCCATACAAGGACTTAAAAATGCTCTAGACTCATTTTAGAATAGAGGTTAAAAGTTGGGGGTTGCTGGAATTGGAGAAGAGAGTCTAGAGAGAAAATCAGAGAGGTTAAGAAGGAGCAGACAGTAACTTGTGGACTGCATGGGCACCTGGAGCCATGGCAGGTTCTAAGCAGAGGAAGATTGTAATCTGGTTTGTTCAGCAGGAACCTGGGGTGAGAGATGAAGCAAGGAGACTAGGAAGGGGGCTCTAGTGGGCTGTGTAGGGTCCTCCAGGAAACTCATGTCCATCTGGAACCTCAGAATATGCCCTCCTTTGTAAATGCAGGCTTTGTGGGTATTCTTAGTAGAGATCTTGAGATGAAACTCTCCTGGGTTGAGGGTGGGCCTATAAGGGGACAAGGGACAGGGAGGAATGCAATATGAACACAGAGACAGATGTTGAGCCATCTGTCCACAAAGCAAGAAGCTGCCAAAGGTTGCTGGCAGAAGCCAGGGGACAAGTTGGGAGTCATTCCTCCTCGGAGACCCCAGAGGGAAGCCAGCACCTTGGTTTGGGATTTGGGGCCCCAGAGCAGGATGAATTCAATTGTTTTACAGTAGTTTGTGGTTATTTCCTATGACAAACCTAACAATCAAATGCAGGTCTCATGCTGCCTTCCAGGTTACAAGTGTCACCATCACCTTACACAGCAACCAGCAGGCTTGGGCAGTCCTCTAAACACTTGAGCTCCGTTTTGGTCCAAGAACCAGACAAGCCCAGAAGTCAAGGAAATCCCACCCAAGCTTCCAGGCTACAGGATCAGGCCTGGCGCTGTGTCCTCCTCTCCTCTCCAGTCCTGCCCTGCACTGCGTGGTAGCACCTGAGAGTCCTGCTCTGGCCACTTGTGCTTCCCACAGGCCTGGCTCAGCCAAGTCCCTGCCACCTTTATAGACTCAGTAGTCCGACCCTGGACTTCCTGACCCGGCGGGCCCTTGCCTGGTTCCTGATCCGGAACCATGGAGCCAGGGAAAGTCAAAGGAAGCGGTTTGGAAGTTTGGGCCTCCTCTGGAAGAGGGTTTGCACACTCTAGTCCTTCCCAGGGAGGGAAGGAGCCCGAGGTTGGAGGACAAGGGGCGGGTCCAGGCCTCATTTTAAAATTCCTTCTCTGCCCCAGGACCTATTTCAATCCTGTCCAGACTTGGGCACTTTGTCACTCCCATCCTTCGGCCTAATAGTCCCATCTGGGGCCTCAGAAGAGCCACACTCCGACCTGAGCACCGAGGACCCCGTGCGCAGCTGTGAGCCAGTCCCAGGGAAACCTGAGGTCCCGCCCGTCTCCTGGGTCCTCAGGTCCGCCCCGGGGGTGGTGGGGTGCATCCCGCCCTGGGATCCCCTGAGATTCTTTTGGAAGGCGACGCTGGAGACCACAGGGATAAAGCGAGGACACAGCCTCTCGCCCCGCCCACTCCCGTTTCCGGGGTTGCTGTGCGGGGCGCAGGCGGCCGGGTGTCCCCCACCTCCCCGCTACTCGGCGAGTGTTTGTCCCAGGCTGTCTTCTGGGGAGGTGACTGAAGCGAGGGATCCGGGAAAGGGCTGAGGGTGAACGGAGTTTGGGGGTGGGAGGAGGATCTTGGACCTAAAGGCAGACGAAGGAGGCTCCAGGCGAGCAGGACCCGGCGGGGAGGGTCCTCATCCCAGAGTCCTGTGCCTACGATAACTGTGCACTTGTCCACGCAGGTCTTAGTGAGGGACACCGACCGGCGCTCGCCTATCGCCCGCATGCTTCTGCTGTGCCGTACTGTGAGTGTGCATATTAGTGTTCCACCCCAGGGTGCAGACTTATGGACTCTGCAATTGTGCATCCATCTCCACGGGCGGGATCTAGACATCTGTGTAAAAGCTCGGGTCTGAACACAGCTTGTGTGCACGCACACACTTTGTGCATGTTTGGTTTAAGTAACGGAGCCTACAGCGCCTGCGCAAGTGATAGTGGGAAGTTGGAGGCAGGTATGTGGAGGAGTGGGTATGAGATCTCTGGCACCGTGCCGCAATCTGCAGACACAGGGGGCTGCCACCCCGAGGAGAGCTTTCCAGCGGAGCCTCCCGCACTGCTCTCAAACGCGCCAGGTTGAGGCTCAGGCTGCCCTGAGCAGGAGAAGGGAGGCTGAGCCCAGTTAGAGGAGTGGGTACCCGTCCCTTAGCCCTGGATCAGCCAGCAGCACCTTGAGACCCTTCTTCCTTGCTGTGGACAGGCTGGGCAGTGAACACAGAGGAGAGTCAGGAGTAGAGGAGGGCTGAGGGAGGCCCATTTTGCTTTTAAATATTTTGATGTAAATTTCACACAACATAGAATTCACCATTTCCAAGGGCACAAATTCAGTGGCATCTAAAACATTCGCAATGTGCAATCATCACCTCTCTCTAGTTCTAAAATATTTTCATCACCCCAGAAGATACCAGTAGCCCCCACTTCTCCTTCCCCATGCACCAGGCTCTGGTAATGTGGACTCTCTCTGTCTCTATGAACTTGTCTGTTCTGGACTTTTCATATTAAGAATCAGATCCTTTTTGTCTGGATTCTTTCAGTTAGTATGTTTTCAGGGTTCATCTTGTTGCAGTATGTAGTTCATTTTAAAAATTCAGGTGAAATTCATTGAACATAAAGTTAATTATTAAGCATTTTAAAATGTAAAATTCAGCTGAATAGGGTGGCACACACCTATAATCTCAGTGACTTGTGAGATTGAGGCAGGAGGATGGAGGTCAGCCCAGGTAACTTTGTAAGATTCTGCCTCAAAGTAAAAATAAAAGGGGGGAGTGGACAGGGCTGGCTTGGGATGTAGCTCAGTGGCCTGGGTCCAATCCCCAGTGCCACACACACACACACACACCCCACATACACACTCATTCATACAAAGCCTACAATTCTTTGGCAGTTAGTACATTCACAGTGTTGAACAACCCCCACCTCTATTTAGTTCCAAGGCACTTTCACAACTCATACCCACTGTTAGTCACTCCCTATTCTACCCTGCCCTCATTCCCTGTCAATCACAAATCTGCTTTCTTTCCCTGCTGATTTACCTATTCTGGACATCTCAAATAAATAGAGTCACATACTCCATGGAATTTTTGTGTCTGATTTCTTTCCCTTATCATCATATTTTCAAGGGTCCTCCACATTGTAGCACGGATCATGCTCCTCCCCTTCATAGTGCTGCATGATATTCCATTGTATGAGTGGACTGCTTTTTGTCTATCCACGTGTCAATCCATTTTGCATTTTAAAATAAATTTTGTATTTTGCATCAGGTCTGTTTGTAGCCTGGAGAAAAGAGAGAAGGAGAGGAGCCATAGCAGAGAGAAGGAATCCTGTTAGAGTGGGTGCAGGATGGGGAACTTCCCTCACTGAAAACAGATATTACTTGTTGCTGCTCAGGGAAGGAGATGGAGTGCCATTGAACAGGGTCCAAAGAGCCCCCCACCCCTTGAGGGGTAGGCAATAGGACCTCAATTCAGCCTGGGCTTGTTCTTGACTTCCTTAGCTGAAAAGAATCCCAGGATACATCAAAAGCAAGGTACAAGCAAAGATTTATTATTTAAAGACAGTAAAATGTACATACCCCAAAGGCAGAGTGTGGGTGCCCCTTTCTTCTCAGAGAAGAGAAGATGAGTGATGCAGAAGATTGAGGTCTCTGATTTTCTGGGAAGCAGGTGCTCAGGCAAGCTTCTTTGAAGATCCAATCCCATGATAATCATTTTATATTTGGGGTTCAGAATTTTTTTTTTTGGTTAAGCAATCTATCCATAAATCAATTGTGGGCACATTGTGTAAGTCTTTAAATCTGTTGACATTTAAATTGACTACATTTTTATTCTAGTTGACCTGTTATAAGGATATGCGGGAGATTTTGTTCATCTATCTAGAGGGACAAGCATGGCTAGTCATGCTCAATGATGGGAGTGTCCATCCACTGAGGGTTTCTTTTTCCTCTCTTCCTGAGAACCCACCTATCGTAAGAGAACCTATCACTGAGTCTTGTTTTGTTTCTGCACTAAGCAGGAGGATGAGGATGGAAAGTTCAGGGATAGGGAGAGGGGAGGAGACTCAGAGAATAATATTGGCAAGTGCCTGGAGATTGAGGGCTCCGCTGGGGCCAGACAACATGACTCCGTGGTGATGCCATCCTTTTGGGCAACTCACAAGTTATACCAAACGGCGGTGATGACAGCTAAGTGCTTCTTGTGCATCAACTCATTTAAGCATCAACTTAAGTAATGGCTCTGAGATAAAGACTATTAGTTCATTTTCCAGGTGAGTAATGAGTCTCAGAGAGGGCAAGCAACCTGTTCCAAGTCTCACAGCTAGTAAGCAGTGGTGTCGAGAATTAAACAGATCCTACATCCTTTCTGTGACACAGGGAAGAGATGACTTCCAACTAATGGGGGCAACTAGAGAGTGACTTTGTCTTAACCCTTGTGGGATTTGTACTCATAATGATGGGGGGAAGGGTAGAGAAACTGGAACAAAGAAATGCATGGTGGGTTAGGAGTGTATGAGGCTAACATAGTAATAATAGTGTAATAATTATTATCAGTAGCAGTTCTTATGTATTGAATCCTTACTAGGACCTGTACAAGCACTGTATGTATGATCTTTTTTGGGGGAAAGCAGTACCAGGGATTGAACTATTTTGTATTTTATTTAGAGACAGAGTCTCACTGAGTTGCTTAGGGCTTCGCTAAATTGCTGAGGCTGGCTTTGAACTCAAGATCTTCCTGCCTCAGCCTCCGGAGCTGCTGGGATTACAGGTGTGCCCCACTGCACCTGGCAAGATGTATAATCGTACTTAAACCTCAACAAATTTAAAAAATAATGACTAACTGTGGCTTAGATGGGTGAATTACCCTCTTCAGGAAGTCTCCCCAGGTAGGACCCGTTAAAGACCCTGTGCTCCTATCCACGGGTTTTTCTTCCCTCTCTCTTCCCCCAGGTGCAACCACAATGCCAGGGCTAAACTACACCTGGGCGTCTGAGTTCATCCTCATCGGCTTCTCCACCTTCCCACAGCAGCTTCTGCCTGTCTTCTTCCTGCTCTTCCTGCTCATGTACCTCTTCACGCTGCTGGGCAACCTGCTCATCATGGCCACCATCTGGGGCGAGCGCAGCCTCCACACCCCCATGTACCTCTTCCTGTGCGCCCTCTCCATCTCCGAGATCCTCTACACCTTGGCCATCATCCCCCGCATGCTGGCTGACCTGCTCTCCGCCCACCGCTCCATCGCCTTCCTGGCCTGTGCCAGCCAGATGTTCTTCTCCTTCACATTTGGCTTCACCCACTCCTTGCTGCTCACCGTCATGGGCTATGACCGCTTCGTGGCCATCTGCCACCCGCTGCGCTACAACGTGCTCATGAGTCCCCGTGGTTGTGCCTGCCTGGTGGCCTGGTCCTGGGCTGGTGGCTTGGCGGTGGGACTGGTGGTGACAACATCTATTTTCCACCTCACTTTCTGTGGACCCAATGAGATCCAGCATTTCTTATGTCATGTGCCACCTCTGTTGAAGTTGGCCTGTGGGAATAATGTACCAACTACTGCCCTTGGTGTGGGCCTGGTGTGCATCACGGCCCTGCTGGGCTGCTTCCTCCTCATCCTCCTCTCCTATGCCTTCATCGTGGCTGCCATCTTGAGGATACCATCTGCTGAGGGGCGGCACAAGGCCTTCTCCACCTGTGCCTCCCACCTTATTGTGGTGATTGTGCACTACGGCTTTGCCTCTGTCATCTACCTCAAGCCCAAGGGTCCCCACTCTCAGGAAGGCGATACCCTCATGGCCACCACCTACACGGTCCTCACACCCTTTCTCAGCCCCATCATCTTTAGCTTAAGGAACAAGGAGCTGAAGAACGCCATGAAGAAGACCTTCCTCAGGAAATTTTATTCCTCAAGCACCTGAGTAGCCAGCGTCGAAGTGTTGGGAGAATTCAGTACAAAGAGGATCATGCCCTTATCTATAAATGGAGTTAATAAGAGGTACTTTGGGGCTGGGGATGTAGCTCAGTTGGTAGAGTGCTTGCCTCACATGCACAAGGCCCTGGGTTCAATCCCCAGCACCCCCCCACACACACACAATAATAATAATAATAATATATATGTACTTTTTAAGACTGGTGTAAAGAGTTGTGTATATCACATAGGTGTTGCTCAATAAATATTTAAAACTTTTCTTCATCTTTATGAGTTCTTATATTAGTTCTGTTTTTATTGAGATGTGACAGATTTATCAGGATATAATTCAAATTCCATACGGTTTATCCATTAAAGTGCATATTTCAACGGTTTTAGTACATTTGGAATTAGGCAACCTGCACCACAAACTATTTTAGAAAAATTCCATCACCCCCCAAAAAGAAACTCGCCATTAGCAGTCACTCCCCATTTCTCCTAATCCCTTTGTCCTCAGCCCCAGGCAGCCACCAATCTACTTTCTGTACCAATTTGTTCATCCCAGACATTTACTATGACTCATAAATTAAATCACAGTCTTTTCAACTGGATTATTTTACCGAGCATAATATTTCCGAGGTTCTCCCATGTTGTAGCATGTGTCAGTCTTCATTCCCTTTAATCAAATGATCTTCCATTGTACGGATATAATACACTCTGTTTATCCATTCATCATTGATGGATATTTCAGCATTTCTAATTTTTTTTTGCTCTTTTTAATAATGCTGCTACACATGATTATGTATAAGTTTTTGTTGGAATATATGTTTTTACATTCCTTGAATATATACTTAGGGGTAGAATTCCTGGACCAAATGGCATCTCTGTGTTTAACTTAGAAACTGCTAGACTATATCCCAAAGTCTGCACCATTTTACGTTACCACTAGCAATGCCCTAGGGTTCCAATTTCTTTTCAACCTTGCCAATTCTTGTTGTTATTTTTCTTTTTCACCAGCCATCTTATCAGGTGTGAAGCGGTATCTCACTGTGGTTTTGATTTGCATTTCCCTAATGAATAAGGATGTTGTGCATCTTATTATGTGCTTTTGCACCGTTTCTATATCTTTTTAAGGGAATATTTTTCTACATAACCATCTTTAATAGGATTGTTTTTTCTTTTTGTTGAATTGCAAGAATGTTTGTATTTTCTAGTTAACAAGTCTGTTATCAGATATGTGATTTTCAAATATTTGCTCACGGGCTGGGGATGTGGCTCAAGAGGTAGCGCACTCGCTTGGCATGCAAGGTGCGCTGGGTTCGATCCTCAGTACCACATAAAAATAAAATAAAGATGTTGTGTCCACTGAAAACTTAAAAATAAATACTCTCTCTCTCTCTTTAAAAAAAAATTGCTCACATTCTACAGGTTGTCTTTTTACTTTGTTTTGGGTTTTTTTTTTTTCAGCCCAAAGGATTTTGATTTTGATGATATCAATTGATCTATTTTTTTTTTTGGTTGTCTGTGCTTTTGATGCCATTTGTGTAAGAAACTAACTTCATGAACACCTAAAGTCATCTAATAGGATTTTTAAAGTTTTAGCTCTTACACATAGGTCTTTGATCCATTTTGAGGTAGTTTTGGATCTGATATGGGGTTGGAGGCTAATCTTAATTTTAGCAATACTCAATATTGTTCCTTGAAACTGACTATATCTGTAAACTGCCATCTGTGACCCAGGCCTATGATTATATAATTTTTTAAAAAATGTGGAAATCATCACACACATACACTTGGATTATACATTATTCATATTGAAATAGGAAACAAAACTTTATTGCTGAATATTAGGTTGTTGTCCCTGCTGCTGTATGGCAAGAGTCAAAAAAGCCACTCTCTGAATACATATTGTATATGTATTCCAGACATTGTATATTGAGTAGTATACTATGTCTGTTTTTTTCATAAACCATCTCTTTATTGCTAAAGACCTGTGAAGGAAAAGAAAGATAATTTTGCCAGATGAAATAGCTTGGCAATATAATTGCTTACTGACTTTGAAAGAGATTGAGTCATAAGAAAGATTTGTTTCTGCTTTGAGCATTGGCTATTGAGGAGTAGGTGGTAGAGAAAAGGCAGAGATTTTCTTTTTAAAAACTTTTAAATTGACATTGTTTTGCATGTGATTCTGGGACTGAATGTGAAGTGGCACCCCCTTTCTCCACAGAAAAGCCCTCTTCACCATGGCTAATTTTAGGACTGTCTGCAAAAGAGTCCAATGTAGATAAACTTCCTATTTTCGTGTTGCCCTGTTTTACTTGGCCACTCCAGGTGCTGGACACCCCCTTACTAGTTTTTCACAAACATATCCAGTACAGTACTTTGTAGAACTCTGCAAACAAGGCCTCTGGCCTTGAGCTGGGCTTCACAGAGATGTTTACATTTTTAAGATAAGTTACAATTAGGCTCCATGGTAACAGCTGGCAGGGGGAGAAAAGAAAGGGGAGAAGAAGCTCTCCCCATCTCAGGTGTTGTCCTTGAAGAGTTAACATGCCCAGAACAGTGAAAGAAAAAGCTACTTTTATGTGAACTTCTGCAGACTGTGAACTTCTGAGCCCCTCCCCTTACATGCTGGATATAAAACTCTGAAACTACCTGAACTCGGGGTTCAGGGGATTGACTGATTACAGCAAAAGCTGTGCCCTCTGAACCTGGCTGCAGCCAAATAAAACTGTTTCCTGCTGTATTTGGTGTCTTGCCTTGTTTGTCCCTACAACAAATGTACATAAAAATCCTGTGGAAATTTAAATTTATGTTCAGACACAAACAGATTAGACATGGTCAAATCATGGTAAAAGCACTTCATCTCTTCAAATACCATCATTTCTATTTGTTGGAAATCTTCAAATTCTCCTCTAGTTACGTTGAAATGTTTAAGATATTATTGTAGACTTTAGTTTTCCTGTTGTGCTGTAGAACTTTGGAACTAATTGCTCCTATGTATCTGTAGTTTGGTAACTGTTGAAAACTTTTTTTTTAGTTGTTTGAGTTCCTTAAGTTTTTCTAGATATTAATCCCTTGATGGATGAACAGTTTTCAAATATTCCTTCCTTTCTGAAAATTGTCTTTACTCTGTTGATTATTTCTTTGATGTGTAGATAATGCCATTTACTTCCTTGCTTTTATTGCCTTTTGAGGTCTATTTAAAAAAAAAAATCTTTGCCCAAGCCAATGTCCAGAGGTAGTCCCCTATGTTTTCTTCTAGTTTCATATCTTACATTAAGTCTCTAATCCATGTGTTGATTTATGTATATGGTGAGCAGTCTGGTTTAATTATTATGCTTATGGATATCAATTTCCCTAGCACCATTTATTGAAGAGACTGTCTTCCCTAGTACGCGTTTGGCACCTTTGTAAAAATAAGTTGGCTGTAAATATATGGATTTATTTCTGAGTTATCTATGAAGTTTTTTTAATGTCAGTAACATGCTTTTTTTGTTGTTTCCACAGCTTTGTAGTATATTTTAAAATCTGGTATTGTAATTCTTTCACTTTTCTTCTTTGTGTTCAGGATTGCTTTAGTTATTTGAGAATTTTATTTTTGGTTCTGTATGAATTTTAGGAATGTTTTTCTATTTCTGTGAAGAATGTCATTGGCGCTTTGATAGAAAATGCATTGAGTCTGTATATTTCTTTGGACAGTATGGACAATTTAACAATATTAATTCTTTGAATCCGTAAACACAGAGAATATTTTTCTATTTTTTTTGTGTCCTCTTCAATTTCTTTCATCAGTGTTGTATGGTTTTCATTATAGAGATTTTTCGCATGCATGGCTGACTAGTTCTAGGTACTTTTTCATTAGCTATTGCAAATAAAAATTTTAAAACTTCTTTTCAGATAATTTACTATTTGGCATACAAAAAGGCTACTGATTTTTGCATATTCATTTTGTATCCTGCAACTTTCCTGAATTTATTGAACAGATCTGACTTTTGGGTGGAGATTTTAGGTTTTTCTATACATAACATCATGTTGTCTACAATTAAGGAAATTTGATTACCTCCTTTTCAATTTGGGTGACTTTGTTTCTTTTGTATAATTGCTCTAGCTAGGACTTCAAGTACTATGTTGAATAAAAGTGGGCGCCTTGTGTTAGAGAAGAGTTTTAAACTTTTCCCTGTTCATTATGATATTTGAGATCTGATTTAAAGATGGATTTCTCCGAGAGATTTGTTTGTGCTTCAGCCAGTCTCCCCGAAGGACAGGATGAATCTGAGATAACTTAAATTACTTTTAAGATTTTTGGGTGCCCAAGAAACCATTATTTCCTTCTGGAAACCTGCATTTATAGTTCCAAATTCTCTCTAGAAGTAATTCCTTCCTCAACTCAGTGCAGAAACTTGATCATCATTTTTCTTTGAATTCCCCTTATAGCAGAATTCCTTGCTCCTAGTGTACTCTTGCATTGATGACTCCTTGCTTTATGGGGAGGAAGATCTCTACCGACACTTTCCAATCTGTCTGTGTCAGGGTTTGTTCATTTCCTGTACTCTACAGACCTTGGAAACTGAAATGTAGGCTCATTTACATCAGCTCATTCCTGGTTAAAGCTGACTCTGTTTAACTCCTGAGCTCCTGTCTCTATCCAAATTCTGGCCTGAGAAAATTTCATTTCCTTCCCAAGTCGTCAATATTTACAAGAACATGAGTTTTATATTTTCTTATTCTTTATAGCTTTTCACAGTGGGAGGCATGACCCACATATCTGACTCACCATAGAGCTAGAAAAATAAGTCATATTGAATTTTGCAGGTGCCATTTCACTGTTTTCTTGATAGAGTACATGATGAAGTAAGTGAATCTCAGGGGTATAAAACTCTTAAAAGACTATGTATAGAATCTCAGGGGTACAGAACTCTTAAAAGACTATGTATAACTAATTGATATAATATGATATAATTTGAATCTTAAATGTCCCCCAAAGGTTCATGTTTTGATGGCTTGTTCCCCAGGCAATGGCACTATTGGGAAGTGTGGCACCTTTGGGTGGTGAAGCACAGTGGAAGGAAGTTAGGTCACTGGGGTGGGAGTGCCTTTAAGGGGATTTTGAGATTTCAGCTTCTCCCTCCCTCCCTCCCTCCCTTCTCTCCTTCCTTCTTTCCTTCCTTCCCCCTCTCTCTTTCTTTCTTCTACCTGACCATCATGAAATAAACAGGTCTCCTCTTTTTTGCTCTCCTGCCATGATGTACTGGGCCACCAATAGTCCATGGACTGAAACCTCCGAAACTGTGAGCCAAAATAAAGCTTTCCTCCTTATAAATTGTTCATCTCAGCTATTTGGTCATAGTCCTGGAAAGCTAACTAACATGATTCTTGGTTGGTAGGAAAGATAAATCCATATTCAGGACACATTTAAATTCCAAGCCCCTTCTGTGGTAGTAGGCATCCAAACAATCAACCTTGCACCAAGGTTGTTGTATTCCGGGATCAGCACTGGTCTCTACAATTAGTTGGTAAAGCATTTGGCAATGGCAGCATCCAGACCAGCCTTGGTGAGGGATCACCCATCTCGTGCTCCATTCCTGATGTCATCCCTGTGTGGCTCAGCAGGGCAAAGACAAAAAGATACTCTGTCTTTTAAATAAAATCAGCAGATATAATCCATTACTACATTTTCTCAAGATAGACCAGAACTTGTCTTCATGGGAAAGGACTTGATAGCATGAATTGTTTAACATTCTTTCATCCTAAGTTTACCTGGTAATTAGGGTGGCCATCTGTTTTGGTTAGTTGCATTTAAACACTGACTCTCCACAACAAGCAACAGTTATAGTTAAGACAAAGAAAGCACTTAAGCTAACCTCCCATGGAAGACAGGGCCCTATCTTCTTTGGATGTTTACATTTCAAACAAGTGGCTCCCAGAGTCTTAAGAAAAACATTCCTGAGTTCTAATGCTGGCAAGAGGCTTATTAGCTTGTTAAAAGATTCATGTATATATTGAAGGACAGAGGAAGAATTTACAGATATAAGTTCTAAGAAAAAGCGGGGGGGGGGGATGATCCTTTCTCTTAGACAACAGGGAAAACTTAATCTTATTTTTTTTTACCCCTACACTGAGATGAGACCTACTGATAACCAGATAAGGGGTCTATTGCCACTTGATTATTGAGAGCACTTCTGCAGTGATCCTTCACTGGGAGCAAATTGTTCTCACATTCTTGGTGCAATAGCTCTTTGTTATCAGTCCTAAAATCTGGCTCCTTCCAAGTCATCTGCTGGATGGATAGCTACTACCTATGAATCAGTATAGGTACATATATCTATAAATCTAGCCTTCCAGGCAAACACTAATTGAAGTAATACTCAATATGAAGGCTTCTCTACCTTGCTGTCCTGCAGGGTCATCGTTCCATAAAGATGTCACTTGGTAGCTTCTCCTAGCCAATGCTCACTCGTGGAGAATCATCTGTAAACTCAGACCCATCATTCTCTACAGTCATTATTCAATGAACCACAGGTTTAAGGGTTCAGTCCCACAAGTGGGGCACTCTTGAGAAATGTGTCAGAAAAATTGGGTGCTCAGAGAACCCGCACTTCTTTCCATCTTGGCTACAAAGTCAGGTTCCCACACTCTCTTCCTCACTTTGTGCTTGATAATTTGCTAGAATGATCCACAGGACCCAAGAAAACACTTCCCTTACTATTATCAATGCTTTATAAAAGATACGACCCAGGAATAGCTAAATGGGAGGGGTGCGTAGGGCAAGGTATGGGAGAAGGGGATATGTGGAACTTCCAAGTCCTATTTGGGGGTGTCAACCTTCCAGCATCTCTATGTGTTCACCAACACAGAGGTTCTCCACGCCCCATCATTTAGGAGTTTTATGCAAGTTTCATTCTGTAGGCATGATTGATTAAATCATCTGTCACTGGGGATTGGCTCCATCCTCAGAGATCTAGAGAGTAGGCTCAAATTTCCAACCTTCTTTGACAATTAAAAACAACTAAGTTAAACAACTAAGAAGTTCCACTCCATGGACTTTCCTGGTGAACTGACTAGCCTCCGTCCTTGAGCTGTGTGTATTTTATTAACACACAAAAGCAGTCTCATTTCTCCAGGGATGAACCTGGGACCTGGAATGAAGGAAGATACAATATAGAAGTCCTCTTTAAGAGCACTTTTGCTTTCCAAGATTTTGGTTATTCTTGGTTAAACTTGGGACAAAAAAATATTAAGAGGAAAATGATACAGGATCACTAGAGGCAGATGATTCTCTCTCCTTCTGCCCCTCCTCAAACCCTTTCTCTTTCTCAGTGCTATACGTGGCGCCCAGGACTTTGCACATTCAAGGCAAGCACTCTAAGCTACACATCTAGCCTGAACTTTTCTATCTTGATCACTGAACCAGCTCAGACAGTGAATTGATAGTAGCTTAACTTAGCTCACAATGCCTATGTGATTCACCTCACTTCATCTCATCATGCATGCGTTGTACCATCTCGTGTCATCCCAAGAAGGGTGAGTAGAGTATAACAAGCTAGAGAAAGAAAGGAATCACCTTCACATAACCTTTATTACATTATAATGTAAAATTTTGTTATTGTCTTATTGTTTTTATCTCTTACTGTACCTAATTTACAAATTAAACTTTATCACAGCGTGCACATATAGAGAAAAACATAGTATATATGGGGTTTGATACTGAGATTTAGGACATCCACTAGAGTTCTTGGAATGTATCTCCTGCGGGTAAAGGAGGACTGCTGTAGTATTCTGTGTGTGCTCTGTGTGTATTCTGTGTGAGCAGATGGTGTGACCTGGTTAGAAAGAACAGAAGCAAATAAAATGGACAGGGTACTCACCCAAGATACCACAGTCTATTCTCGAAGAAAGTCTCAAATCGATAACTTTAAATAGAGGGATTGAGAGAGCCTCAAGTGACTTCAAGAAGGGTCTAGTCAGACTGTTTGAAAAGGAAAGTTATTTATTCAATGCTTGTGACCCCATCTCCAGGACGAGAAGCGGGAAAGACCCACTGAGTTCAGTAAGAAGCAGGCGCCAGCTCTGGAAAGGAGGAACGAGTTCTGCTTTTCCCGGGGTGAGGCTAGGCTTGTGCCCCAGAAGGCCACCTGGGCTAGCAAGGGCTGTGGCTGGAATCTGTCACTTGGACTCCACTCAGACACGTAAGGGTCGCTGTCTCTTGAGGGTCCGGGGCGGGTCCTGGATCACTAGTCAATCAGGGCCTCTGGGGCGGGGCTGTACGAACTGTCCAATCAGGAGCGCCGGCAAGAGGCTGGGGAGACGGCCTGAACCTTGGGGGATCGTTTATGCGCAGCCGCAGTAGGGGTCTGGCCACCGCTCCCGGGAGAGGCGCCTAGCGGCTCAGCCTTTGTTGCGCTGTGACCTCCGCTGACCTCAGGAGCAGTCGGCAGGACGCCGCGAATCCTCGGAAGCAGAGAAATGGTGAGTGTGGGAGGCGGAGGGGGAAGGAGGGGCCGGCTGGACCCGCGGAACCCGCAGCGGGGACCCGTGTTCTCCGCCTCTGCTCGGGAGGCCGACCGCGGCTGGCGCCGCTGGGCTCTCGGTCCCTCCGCCCCGTGGGGGCTGGGCCGGCAGCCGGGACCCTCTCTGGACAGCCCTGCGTCTGCCCAGACGGTGGCGGCGGGAGGCGTGGTGTGTGTGTGTGTGTGTGCGCGCGCGTGCGTGTGTGTAGGGCTCCCGCTGTGGTGTGTGGGGTCCCCGTGCCTGGGTCCCCGTGCCTGTCTCCCCTGGGAGGATCTGGGGTGTGTGTGTGTGTGCGTGTGTGTCCTGCAGAGGAGCTGTGGTGTGGGGTCCCTGTGCCTGTCTCCCCTGGGAGGATCTGGGGTGTGTGTGTGTGCGTGTGTCCTGCAGAGGAGCTGTGGTGTGGGGTCCCTGTGCCTGTCTCCCCTGGGAGGATCTGGGGTGTGTGTGTGTGTGTGTGTGTGTGTGCAGGGCTCCTGCAGAGGAGCTGTGGTATGTGGGGTCCCCGTGCCTGTCTCCCCTGGGAGGATCTGGGGTGTGTGTGTGTGTCCTGCAGAGGAGCTGTGGTGTGTGGGGTCCCTGTGCCTGTCTCCCCTGGGAGGATCTGGGGTGTGTGTGTGTGTGTGTGTGTGTGCAGGGCTCCTGCAGAGGAGCTGTGGTATGTGGGGTCCCCGTGCCTGTCTCCCCTGGGAGGATCTGGGGTGTGTGTGTGAGTGTGTGTATGTGTGTGTTGGGGGGGGGGCTCCTGCAGAGGAGCTGTGGTATGTGGGGTCCCCCTCCCTCCTTTCTCCCCAGAGAGGATCTGATTCCCCCTGAATTTTCTAAATATCTGGAAGCAAGGCCTCAAATCCACGACCCTGTCTTCTCAGCATAGCTCTTCCTAGGTTTCTCAGTCCATTTTTAGTTGCTCATAACTCAACACCACAGTCTGGGTAATTTATAAAGAAAAGCTTATTTTTAGTTCATGGTTCTAGTCCAGAGTTGAGAGGTGCCATCTGGTTGTTTGCTGGCAGAGCTGGAATAGGCACAGGGCATCACATGTCCAGAGAAAGGAAGTGCCAGAGAGACTTAGCCAAACTGGCTAAGTTTAAAATAACCCATTAATCCATTAATCCATGGATGCATTAATCCATTCATGAGGGTAGGGCTTACTCACCTCTTAAAGGTCCTGCTTGTTGATATCTCATAACGGAGCAGATGGATGCCCATGGCAGGGAGGAGTCTCTTGATATACCCTCATTTATGTGGTTAAGCCTTTTTTTTTCCCTAACCAGGTCTTTATTCCTTGAAAACATATTGGTTAGCCCACTTTGTTAGCACCATATTGTTAGCACCAACAATATCAGATGTTGGTGCTGAGGGGACAAGATAGAAATAATTCCTGCCCCCTGGATTCCTTGTGAAGGGATAAAACTATCCCAAAGGACTAGGAAAACCCACCCCAATAAGGTGGTGCCATTTCCTTTCCTTTCCTGAAAGGGAAAATGCACTTTGGGCACACAGCAGGGAAGTCTGTTATCCCTTGGAGGGTGGATATTGAGCATGTCAGCAGGATGGGAGGTAGGGGGAAATGTCCTGTGTGGTAGGCTGGATCGATTGAACACCAACACTGACACTCCCTAGCCTTGTCATTTAGGAAAGATTTACTTCTTTGAGCCTCAGTTTTTCAGTGGAACTTGAGTGATAAGACAAAATATATCCAAAGAAGCAAGAAAGAGGTGATTTCAGAAAAAAATTAAATATCTAGCCTTATCCTTTCTTTTAAAAATTTTTATTAACCTTTGTTCTTCTCCATATTGTGTGTAGTACATTTCCCAGATCTGGTCTTATCTTTTGGTTGACTTCAAATGGGATAATAACACTTAGCCTTGAGAATGCTGCTAGGGATGAGAATCTCAGAGCATAGGGAAAAATCACTGTTCCACAGTGGCTGCAGAGAAATAAAGACAATTCCACCAGAAGGTATGGTAGGTAGATTAGTGGATGACAAGGACTCACCAAAACTTGAGTTTGTCTCCATTCCTGGGTGAGGAGCTTGGGACAGTGGACAATGAACACTGTTCTCTTTTCTGGTACTTAGACTTAAGAGGCAACATCCAGAAATATTCAAATATAATTAATGCTAGCTAATTTGTTGCCATGGAAATGATAATTAAGTTACATTGTAATTGTCTAAAGGGATAGTCACTTGTGCTTTTGCAGTTGAGCTATGATGGATAAGTGCCTTAGAATTCTTTACCTCCTATATATATAAACAAAGCCTAAGTGATTTTAATAGATTCCTCAAACACTGGGTATTTTCTCCCTTAAAAGTAAGTGAATAGTGTTGGTCAAGGAGGAGTTCCATGCCCGGTGACTTCATGTTAAGGCCAATGTTGAGTCTGAAAATGGAAGTCAGGGAAGGCCCAGTTGTTTATTCCTAGGAACCTGCCTTGCTGGTGTGTGACAATGCAGAGCCCTTGGTACTGAGAGAAACTGAAAAAACAAAATAATCCCCACTGTTATGTTTAACTATAGTGCACTCATAAAAACATTTTTTAAAAAAGTCATCTACCATTTTAAAAAAGATACGTGGGTATCTTTCTAGGCTCTCTGTCATATTCCATTGGTCTAGATCTCTGTCTTTATACCGTCCGTCACCACATTGTTTTGATTACTCTACCATTGAATAAGAATTTGAGGATTTCAGCACCAATATTCATTCATAAGGGACAGTTGACCGTAGTTTTGTTGTTGTTGTTGCTTTTGTTAGCCTAATTTTGGTCTTGTATGATAAATTTGGAAATGTTATCCTTCAGGGTTTTTGGATAACATTTCTTCCTTAAATGTTTGGTAGATTTTCCAGTGAAACTGTTTGGTTCCAGACTTTCATTTGTTGGGGACAGGGTTGAGGTTGATTACTTTATCAGCCTCCTTATTAGTTGTAGGTCTACACATATTTTGTAGTTTTTCATGACCCAGTCTCAGTAGATGGTGTGTTTCTAGACATTTTTACGCTCCATTCAGGTTACCCTATTTGTTGGTGTGCCCCTGAGACTTCTTAAATAAGGTATGAAGCATGCAGTTCTATCAGTTTTATTCTACAGTTGTTACACAGGAGCCTCATTCATGTCATGGTAAACTGTAGGGGCAGGCAGAACATTGCACTGATGTATTTTGACCTCATTTTTTAGGATGCTTGTGTTCCTGGGTTGTGACTACCGTAAGTACTCTTCATCCTTATGCCTTAGTTGAGCAGGAAGGTTACAGAGGGGTGGAGCTGGGTGTTACACTTCCCCAGAGGTTTGGCTCTTGCTGTGATTTGGATGTAGTTTGAGTGTCCCTCAAGGCTTCATGTGTTGAAATTTAACCCCTACCCTTAGGAATTAAGAGGATAGACACTTAACCTCACTGTAGTATTTAGAGTTAGAGCCTTTTGGAGGTGATTAGGTAATCAGAGTGGAGCCCCCATGATTGAATCCTTTTGGTTTTATCACCAGAGGGAGAGAAACCAGAACATAAACACACACACACACACACACACACCCCTACATCTTGTCTTTTGCCATGTGATGCTCTGCACTGTCTCAAGACTCTGCTTGCAAGAAGGCCATCATCAGATGTAGGCTCTTGACTTTGTATCCTCAGAACTTTGAGCCAAAAGAAGCTGCTGCTTTTTTTTTTTTTTTTTTTTTAATAAAGTAGCCTGCCTTAGTAACATAAAGCTCTGGTAACATCCCTGTTGATAAGGCCTTTGAGAAATTGTTTTGAAGACTGGACTTAAGAACACATGTCTGTGGGCATATTTCAAAATGACTACTTTTATTTTCTTCCTGCTCAAAGCAGGAAACAGTTTTTAATCTGACCATCACAATGAGAACTGTAGTGTTTCTGGAGGTAAAACTCATAAATGAAGGGGGACTTCCTAAGAATGGGCCCCACTCTACTTTTTACCTCTCAAACTTGTGCCCATTCAATTCAGACTTCAGCAATTCATCAATATGGTTTAGTTCACATTTTCTTTTGTTCTTGTTCTTTTCTTGTTCTCCCTCCCCATCCTCTTATATATATTTTTTATCCTCTATAATGCTTCACAGAGGTTTCTGCATACAGGTTTTTATTCCCATAAGTTATGATTCTTTATTAGATTGGTGGGGTCTTTCCCAAAATCTAGATTCTGAATGCTATCAAAGGTCAATACCAGAAGAATGTATGTATGATGTATCAAAATGCATTCTACTGTCATATGACTAATTAGAACAAATAAAAAGGTCGAATATTGAAAGAGACTGTTCTAAGGATATGCAGTCTCAGGACTGCTAATGGTAGGCCCTTCAGTACACCAACACTTTGCTATGACAGGGACTGTAGGTCTTCTGTTCAAAGAGACATTAACGGTGATCTAAGCTGCACATCTTACTCTATAAACTCATCAATGAGAGGTGTGTTCCTGTTCAGCCATTGCTTTATGCATAGTTCAAGTCTATCACCACAATTGCTGTGTTGGAGGATGTGAGAGTGAATAAAGGGTAAATCTGATTACCAAGTCATAGAATAAATATTTTGAGTCCACAGCATTATGTGAACCTATTATGATTTCAGTGTAGATCTTACCCTTCCTATATTAAACATGTGGGATATTTTAGGACTTAATGACCTTTGAGGATGTAGCAGTGAACTTCACCCTGGAGGAGTGGGCTTTGCTGGATCATTCCCAAAAGGATCTTTACAGAGAAGTGATGCTAGAAACCTTCAGGAACCTGACCTCTGTAGGTAAGGGTGATGTCTTTTCCTCACTTAATCAATTAGAGAACAAGTATTTTTTGCTCATCAATGCTCCTTGGTGATTTGGAATGTAGAAAAAAATTATGTTGCTGAACAAGTCAAGCATGGTCACAGAGTATCATGAATAGAGACTAATAATTTTTTTATAAAGTTGTAATGACAACATTATAAACAACATTTTTATAACGTTTTTATAATATTGTAATAACAATTATTTCCCTTTTTTTTTCCTTTTGATTGATTGACTGATTTTCGAGATGGGGTATTTTATGTTGCCCAGGCTGGTCTTGAACTCCTGAGTTCATGTGATTCTCCCACCTCAGCATCTTGAGTAACTGGGGCTACAAGCATTCACTACCATGTCCAACTCATAATGATTTTTCTGTGTCTGTATTTTAGGAATACAATGGGAAGACCAGAACATTGACAATGAATACAAAAATTGTAGAAGAAATCTAAGGTAATTTGTGGGCTGCGGATGTGGCTTAAGCGGTAGTGTGCTTGCCTGGCATGCGCACAGCGCTGGGTTCAATCCTCAGCACCACATACAAATAAAGATGTTGTGTCTGCCAAAAACTAAAAAATAAATATTAAAAAATTCTCTCTCTCTCTCTCTCTCTCTCTCTCTCTCTCTCTCTCTCTCTTTAAAAAAAAAAAAGAAAGAAATCTAAGGTAATTTGTACTAGCAAGAGAAAGCAGTGTCCCTGGAGAATCTTAAAATGACAGCAAATTTTAAAAATGAGAAATTAAACTTCAGATTTATTTATTTTTATAAATTTTTTTCTAAAACTTAAATGTGACATACATATGTTTGCAAAATAGTTAACTTGAAAACAGTATTAAGTAATCCAGTGTGGGTGTCACTGTTTTCATAGAAGTTATGGTCTAGCCATTGGCAAAGCGTTCAGTTCATTCATGTTCAGAAGATTGAGGCAGGGCATAAAGCCTATATTTTCACTGATAATGTTAAAAATGTAAATTCAGTATCTGTAAATAAATATAAAATTATTAGTAAACAAACCTTTAGTAATGTGCTTCTCATTTTTTGCAGAAGTCAAGTGATAGAGAGACTATGTGGATATAAAGAAGGTAGTCCATATGAAGAAATCTTCAGCCAGATTTCAGATCACATTGTGAAAAAGAAAACTCCTGCTTTAAAACCATGTGAAAGCCCTGTATGTGGAGAAGTGACCATTGGTCATTCATCCCTTAATGGGCACATCACATCTGATTTTGGACATAGACTATATGAGTATCAGGAAAAATCCTATGAACATGAAGAACATGATGAAATCTTTAACTGGACCAATCTCATTCAAAACTATGAAATAACTCATACTGGGGAGAAACCCTATGAATGTAAGCAACATGCAGAAGCCTGTAGGAGCTCCAGTTATGTTCAGATACATGAAAGAACTCACAATGGATTAAAACTCTATGAATGTAAGCAATGTGGGAAAGCCTTCAGGAGTTCCAGTTATGTTCAGATACATGAAAGAACTCACAATGGAGTGAAACCCTATGAATGTAAGCAATGTGGGAAATCTTTCAGCTGTTCCAGTTACATTCGAATACACGAAAGAACTCACACTGGAGAGAAACCCTATGAATGTAAGCAGTGTGGGAAAATGTTCACTTATCTCCAGAGTGTTAGAAGACACATGATAATGCACAGTGGTGATGGACCATATAAATGTGAGGTATGTGGGAAAACATTTCATTATCCCAGTTTATTTCGTATACATGAAAGAACACACACTGGAGAGAAACCCTATGAATGTAAACAATGTGGTAAAGCCTTTAAGTGTCCCAGTTCTGTTCGAAATCATGAAACAACTCACTCTGGTGAGAAACCCTATGAATGTAAGCAGTGTGGGAAAGCCTTCAGTTGTCCAAGTTACATTCGAATGCATGTAAGAACACATGCTGGAGAGAAACCTTATGAATGTGAGGAATGTGGGAAAATATTCACTTGTCTCAAAAGTGTTCGAAGACACATGATAATACACAGTGGAGAGAGACCTTATAAATGTAAGCAATGTGGGAAAGCCTTCAGTAGTTCCAGTTATGTTAGAATACATGAAAGAACTCACACTGGAGAGAAACCCTATGAATGTAAGCAGTGTGGGAAAGGCTTAAGTAGTTCTAATTCCTTTCGAAGACATGAAAAAATTCATACTGGAGAGAAACCTTATGAATGTAATGAATGTGGGAAAGCCTTCAGGTGTCAAAATTCCTTGTATAAACATGGAAAGACTCATAGCAAAGAATAATTGTACAAGTATAAGACATGTGATAAAGTCTTCTGTTGTTTCAGTCATGGATATGTGAATGAATTTAATACTGTACAGACACCCTGTGGATGTAAGGGATGTTGGAAAATACTCTCTTGTCCCAGTTCCTTTTGTAAGAATGAAAGAACTGATCCTGAGGAGAAATCCTACCTAAGGAATGCAGGAAAGCAGATAATCTCACAGCCTTTCTAGCACACACAAGAATGCATGTGTAGAGAACTACTATGAATGGAGTTTGGAAAAGCTTTTAATCCTCACAGTTCAATTCAAAGCCATGGAAGAATGCACAGGGAAAGAATATGAACGGTATTCAAATGTCTTCAGTTGGCTTACGTCCTAACAGCATGTAAAAATTTACATTGGGGCTGGGGATGTAGCTTAGTGGCAGAGCATTTGCCTAGCATATGTGAAGCCCTAGGTTTGATCCCCAACACTGAAAAAAATAAACCAACCAAGGAATTTTCAATTTAACAAACATTTCAAAGATTTTGTGGAAACTACCAATGTTTTGAAATTCTATATATCAAAGAAATATAAAATGCTTGATACAAACTAATTTGGGTGTATTGCTCACCAGAAACCACAATTTGAAGGAAATGTTATAAAAGCTATACCTTTATTAATAATCTTTATCAGTGACTTTCTCTTAAAGTAGATCTCTCTGCTATGGATTTCAAAATCTTATTCTCACAAAGAAATGTTGAACTGAGATAATTCTGTAAGTACCCTTGAATTAATGAGTTCAATAGGTATTGTTTTTTCTCTTATGCCAGTTAATATTTTTTTTTCTCATTCATTTTATATATGTAAGTTTATAAGATTCCTGAATGAATTGAGATGTAGTTCTATTATGCAGTAGATCTGATTTTTTTTATATAGTTTTAAATTATTCTGTGGTTAATGGAACATTGAAAAATTAGTCTTTGTTAATAGTTGAGTGTTTTGTCAGGTATTTTGGTGTTTGTTGAATCAGGGTCTTGTTATATCATTCAGGCTGATCTTCAAACTCTTGGGTTCAAGGGTTCCTCCAGCCTTAGACTTCTGAGTAGCTGGGACTACAGGCATGCACCACTGTGCCCACAATTATTGAGAGTTTTGTCACTGTCCTAAATCGGCAGATTTGGGATATCCCTTTTCTATTATATACTTTCTACCCTTCTTTATTGTGGGGGAAAATTTGGTATAATGAAGTTCATTCTCTTCTCATTGCTAATAAATAATTGGCATTAATTTGTAAATATGTCAAGTTTATTATAAGTTCTGTGTGAATTTAATCTGTTGCCCTTTACTCTGTTATTTTTTCTGTTAGATGGATGATTGACTTTGGGTTAAACAGGAAGGACAATAAAAACCTAGGGTGGGAGAATTTTTCTGGATTGAGTTATGTGTGTGTGAGAAATATTGGGAACTAGTATTTTCCAGATTCCCTGTCCTTTATGGTTCTATGTTAGAATACACTAATAGACTGTGAGGTAGGCGTAAGTCAGGTTTTGCAGACATCATACCTGGAGATAGCCAGATGTGTTAGGTCAGAAAGATACCTTCTTCCAGTTCCCTTTCCTGACTTTTTGAATTATCACTCAAGAGTATCCCCCAAACTACCATTGACTATTGCATTTCTATTTTCTCAGTTTTGTAGGTTGCACAGATGTCTCTAGAAGTTCCACGTTACAGGTACATTCACAGTTTGCATTTTCCTGCAAGCCCTGTGTGTACCAGACAGATCAGACTGTCACTGTTGAGAGTATTGTCGGCTGGACTGACTCCAAAGTCTATAGATACAGTCTAATCTAATTACATAGACCTTTTATTGCATAGTAAACAACTCTGTTCATATTGGGAATGAGTGTTCCTGATTCTGGTTGACAACTACAAGTGTGCAATCAAAACAACTACATAGGGCTTGTTCTACTAAACAAAATTTCCAGGCATGTTTCTTAGAAATAGTTTATTAACTGTTATCCAGAAATTTACATACTAATAAACCAGGACTTCCTTTTAAATTTAGAAAGGAAAGGGCATTACTGAGGGCTTTCTTTAGAAGTTAGAATACCAAAAGAGAGGATGTTAGAGATGGAGAAATAAATTGGAAAAGCATTTGGAAGGGAAGAAGGAAGTAGTTCTAACGACATATTTTCAAGGAAATGCTTCTGAAACCTTTTGAATTTTATCTTTTTTTCACCTCATAGCCCAACCCTATGTTGATGCCTCCTTTAGGTCTGGACAATCTTCTAGATCCTTCTCTGTTCCTTGCATGACACCTCTGCAGTGAATCTCTAAAATCCCTTTTTGTGCCTGGACCTTGCCACTGGTCCCTCAAATCCAACCCTTTGTTCTTGGGCATTGTCTCCAGATCCACAAATGAATTCCTGGGACCTGGATCCCTCCATTCCCCACTCCAAGTCACTGATAGCCACCCCAGATCCTCAAGCCCTTTTTCATGTCCTTCAGTTGACCCAAGACACAGAATCCACCTTGAAAGTTTAGATCCCAACCCACATCATCAGATTCTGCCTTGAGATTCAGAACTCTACCTCTGGCCACGCAAGCTCCTCAACTTGCTTCCACTCTCTGTCTTACCAGCTGGCTGTGCAGCCACTGGAGGTGGCCTCCGGTGTAGCCTCCTGCCTATGGGTGATGGGGAAAGAGAAGAGATCCTACTATAATGAATGGGGTTCCCCTTCTTCTCTCTTGCTTCACTGGCCTACCATTCGAGACATCCTGGGTTCAATCCCCAGTACAAAAATGTGGGAGTAGGAAACAAGCTGGACTGAGAGCTAAGAGTAGCCTGGGGAATGCATGGCTGAGGTCAGGGGTGGGGTGGGTGGGCTGAGCGAAGACTGACGGAGAATCACCCGAAAAGGGGATGGAAGTCAGGAAAAGGGGATGGAAGTCAGGCGGCTGGGAGAAGAGGAAGCGTCGGTCCACTTGGAGTTTAGGGCCTGTATGAAAATGAGATTGGTAGAGCTGAGATCAGGGAGAAGGGGTGAGCTGCTAGATGGGCTGGGAGGGATCATGGAGGGGAGGGAGGGTCCCTGGAGCTGGGATGACCCAGAAGGGGTTTGCTTTGGCAAGAAGAATGGGGATGACCTATGGGTAGGCGTAGCTAAGCCAAGAAGGGGCGGGCTTTGGCTGGGGGCGGAGCTGAGCCAGAAGGTGCAGAATAAGGCCGGGAGTGCAGGGCTGAGCGGGTGCCCTAGCACCCACAGCCCCAGCCCTGCTAGCCCAGCAACAGCTGAAATAAACCTAGGACAGCGTTCGACACCACACTCCGAGCACCTGGCTAAACATCGACCAGACAGGATGAGAGCCTTGGAGAGAACGTGACTAGGGAGATTGAGGTCAGGTGGAAGTGAGTGGGTAAGGGATTGGGAGGGACTCAGGGAAAACCAGGTGAGTTGAAGCCTTCAGATGCTCGAGGGTAAAGGTCTGGCAAGGGAACCGAGAAGGAACAGGAGTTGGATCAAGAAAAGTTATCAGGACAAGGAGGAGACAAGGAAACAACCTGGGGACCTGTATTGCACAAGTGTTCTGGCCAGGTTGAGGGCAAGGGATTGATAATGAGGAACTTAAAAGGGTGGGTCCAAGGCTTCTAATCCATACCTCATGCCCTGTTGGGGACACCTGGCAGGTGACTGGAACTGGGGAGAGGCCAAAGATTACAGTGGGAACCAGACATCATAGTATGAAGGTATCACAGGCCAGCTGTGGACACCTGAGTGAAGACAAGGGCAAGTGCCTGAGGGCGGGTGTAGCTGAGTGAAAACTGGTAAGATAAAGGCCACGTGGGGTGACCTGTGTAGAACCAGGTAAAGGTGTGGTAGGAGGACCCTCATCTGCACAGAGCATCGCCTCACTTACCCCTGGGAGCTGTCTTATCCCCATCCTGTGTGTGAAGGTGTCCAGGTGAGGCACTGCTGCTCCCCATTCCTGTCTCGGTGCACAGGTGGAACACAGAAGAAGAGGTGTGGCTGAGAGGAGGGACGTCCAGGTGACGTGCTGATCCCCATTTACCAAATGGGGATCTGGTGGAGGGGCTAGGCTGGGAGTCTGAGACACCATGATATTAGTACAGTTGTTACCTGAGTGTAGTTTCCTGCAATGGGCTCAGTCTGCCATAGGTTACAGGCAGGTGGGTAGTCTCCCCTGAAGAGAGGTAGGCTGGGGTCTGTCAAGCCAGGGGATTGGCCTCCTTATTCCTTCCTGCCTCTTTCCTCCAACACTAATTTTCACCATATGCCTCTGCCACTGTCCAGATTCAATCTTGTCACCTCACTCCAAGCTCGTGTCCTCTCTGAGATTTACCAGCTAATGTTACCTGTGTAGAAACATCCATCTCTGCATCATGACAAAGCAACTGATGACTTCCCTTCTCAGCCATCACTCCCCCTGGTGAAGGTGACCCCCACCTAAGCTGCACCTTACCTCTGGCCTACTTTCCATTGTACAGCCACCAGCCTGTAGCACACTTCTTTGGCAGCCACAGCATATTAGTTCAATGCACAAAAGCATTGGCTTCACCTATACAAGCCTTCAAGGCAAGGCTGCCCTGAGCTATGTGGACACAGCCCTTGCTGTGGGGTTTGTAAAGATTATAGTCATACCCTCCTTATCTATAGATAGCATTCTGTGGTTTCATATACCATGATTACCATGGTCTGAAAATATTAAATGGAAAATTTCAGAAACACTCATAAATTCTAAATTGAGTGCTGTTCTGAGTACCTTGATGAAATCTTGTGCCCTCCTGTGCCATCAATCATTTCACTTCATCTCATCAGGTAGTCATTTTATGATGTCACATCATCACTAGAAGAAGGGTGACTACAGAATAATGTGGCACACTGAGAAAGAGACCACATTATTATGATATTTTTTACAGTGTACTGTTATAATGGTTCTATTTTATTCTTAACTATTGTTAATCTCTTACTGTGCCTAATTCGTAAATGAAACTTTATCATAGGTATGTATGTATAAGGAAAAAAACATAATATATATAGGGTTAAATGCTATCCATTGTTTCAGGCATCCACTGGGGAACATATCGTCTTGGATATGTTTATTGTAGAGGAGCACACTGCTCTTGTTAGACTGGCTGGTATCACCAGGATGATGGGGATAGGATAGAAGTTGACCAAGGAGAGAGGCAGAGCTATGCAGTTTGACCAGAAGACACTGAGCACATACATTGCCCAAAAGAAACCACTCTTACACTCCCAGCTCTAAATTGCCCTGATCCTGGGAAGTCTTCCAACTCTCCCATTCTGGGTTCCCCCAGCTCCTGTTCTTCTTACCGTGCCTTCATCTGTGCCTGACTCTTCATTGGATCGAGTCTCTTGAGGGAGGAAAAAAATGTCTGACTCATCTGAAATCTAAGAGACTGGAACAGAGAGTATGTTTGGAATGAATGAGTGTTGTAGACCTAGGAAGAGGAATGCACAGAAAGGGAATCAGAAGGGACTTGGTTGACAGACCAAGCAGCTACTGTGTGCCACAGTATTCTACATACATTAGACTTGATAACCACACATATTGATAATGTGTCATAGTGGAAACTAAAAGTAAAAAAATGTCACTTGTCCCACTTCAGAAAGCTGTCTCCAGATTCAGAGTGTTATAAACAGTTAAGGAGACTATCACACAGATATAGGAAGAGAGAAAACCAAGTGCTGGTCAATCAGATGATGTTTTGGTGACAGCCAGGACTGTGCAGACCTACTATGGCGTCTATACCTGATTACTTCTTTCTGAGCCTCAGTTTCTACTTTCTTAAAGTGAGGTTGACCAGATGACCACTCTTAGATGTGAGGTTATGTTATGATTCTTTGTCATCTTAAGTGTCCAGTGGACTAGACTCTGGCTTTAGGAAGACAGTCTTGAGCTAAGAAAGAGATCTTTCTCCAACCTAACATGATCTGTGTCTTTTCACAGAAATGGGAACATAGAGGAACCAGCATCATGGATGATTCGAAGATGGTCAGGATGTTCCACCATAGTCACTAGAATTACATACTATAGGGTGGATACCTACAGAAGTGGTCTATGAGAAGCAGCAACGCTGCTGTCCATGGCCAATCTCCATCCATCTCTGTGCCTTAGCCTTAGGTCTTTTTTCTCTCTGGCCCGAGTGCCAGAAGGATCAGTGAAGAACGAGTTTATGGAGCCCAGCATTCTTATATTCACAGACTTCTTGTCCCTCTCTTAGGTCCTTTTCAGATTTCTTCTATGCTGAGAGAACATACTGTCAATGAACTGCTAAATTGTGTTTTCTGAAAATTCCGGTCCAGAGCACAATAGAGCTACCTGAGACACAGGGCAAAGGAATGATATGGCTGCCTCATTCCAAATGGAATTTGGCCTGAACTTTCAAGATGCCCCAGCCTTTTACCTGGACTCCTACTTTCAAAAGTGATGACTCTCTGGGAATCATCAAGACCCCACATAACATATGCCCAGTATGTATTTCCAGGTTTCCCTCTCATCCTCAGCACACCTCCACACCTTTGCTCAAACTGTTCCCTCTGCCAAGAACACTATTCTAGCGTGTCCTGGGAAGCTCTTTGTTCTTCAGAGTCCTCCAAGTGAATTGCCAGTTTTTCAATGAGCCTAGTCAGATTCACACTCCTTCTGTGTTCTTACAGCCTCTTGTCCTCATAGAGTTTTTCTCATAGAGTCAATAAATGTCAGTTTCATGCTCATTTGATATGGAAATATTCGGGGTGCTGTGAGTCAGCAGTGATTAAGAAGAAAGGAATTCTCTGTCCTCTGCTTCTCATGGTTCAGTTTTGGAAGCTCTCCTGTATCAAGAGATGACCAAATGGTCAGAGTTGTAATGAGAAACCTAGACATCTATAGGGGCTAAGTGTAGTTCTAAGAGCTAGCTAGGGGCTTAGAGAAAGTGTCTGGAGGGAGTGATGTGTAAAATGGAAATGCATGCACTTGTGATTCAGATGAAGCAGGCAGATGGATGGGGAGTTTCCAGGTAGAAGGAACAGCAAGTGCACAGGCTCAGGGTGATAGAGCTGGTGTGTTTGGAATAATGGGATGTCCACTGAGTTCTAGCCAGGTGAAACTGGCTGAGGGAGTCCTGATGAAGGCAGACAGGTCAGAGTTCAAGAGCACAGATGACCACGAAGTCCACTTGAAAAGTTTGTTCTTAGGGAAGTAGGAAACCCTAAAAATTTTTAAAAGCGTTCAGAAATAATCTTTGATATCTCTGAACATATCCATGGGTGTTTGTTATTTCTAATTTGGAGTTCTCATGAATGCCTACTATGTGTCCTTAGCAGGAAATCTCAATGGGCTCTTTGGGTCTACCTGGGAATGTAATTGCTGGGTCATAGGGGAGGCCTCCATCAGCTTGCATAGATACTGCCAAACATGTTTCCAAAGTGTAACAGTAGGTTGGTTTTAAGCATGAATGATTAGCCAGATTTCTGAGTATAGAGAGTTCTCTGGCTTTTATGAGGAGACCAGACTGCAGAGGACAGGGTGGGCTTAGAGAGACGCAGAAAAGGCGGCAGTGGGCACCGTCTGGAATTCCTTGAGCATGCTTATGACCCCATTTCCAGGAGGAAGAAGCGAGACCGCTGAGTTACAATAGGAAGCGGTTGACCGCTCGGGAAAGCCAGGAGCAAGTTCCCCTTATCCTCAGCCTGAGCCAGGTCTGTGCTGGGGAGGAAGCAAGGCAGGGTAAGTGCTGTAGCCAGAATCTGCCAAGTTAGGGGACCGCTCCTGTCGCTGGGGTCCTAGGGAGCGGGTCCTGGAGCACTAGCCAATCAGAGGCGCGGGGCGCGGGGGCCGTACGAACTGTCCAATCAGGAGCCCCGGCGGCGGGAGGGGCGGTCCAGACTCTGAAGGGTCCGCATTTGAGGTGCCGCGGTGACGGGCGGGCGGGCGGTCAGCTGTTCTGAGAGACGCCAGCGCCTCAGCCTCCTTCGCTTTGTGACGTCCACTGATGCCAGTTACCGTCGGGAGGACTCCGGGCGACCCCGGAAGCCGGAAATGGTCAGTGTTGGGGAGCGGGCCGGGGTGGGGAAGGAGCGCCGGCGGGAGCGGCGGAGGGACCGGCCCCCCCACGTCGGCCCCGGAGCCGGTGAATGAGTCCGCCGCTGGCGTCGCTCGGCCCTCGGTCCCTCCGACCTCGCCGTGGGGCTGACCTGGCAGCCGGGACCCCGGCGTCCTGTCCCATCCCTGCGCGGCGACTTGGGCCAGCCCGGAGTCCCGGTCTCCCCAGAATGCGGTGTCGGCCGGAGGGTCCCGGGGAGACCCGGACTCGCGTGTGGGCTCGTGCGCGGGAGGAGCTGCGGGATTGGGGAGCCGCCAGCTTTTTCTCATTTTCCCCCGTGGCATACTTAATTGCCCGGAATTCCTACATGTTTGCGAAGGAAGGTCTCAAATCCACAATCTTCCAGTGCTTCTTAGGGCTGGCTGCCAGTCAATCTCTGATTTACCAGGTGCTTCTCCACGAAGCCAGACTCCTTGGAGAGGGGGTCTTCCGCTTCAACACGGTTGGGGTTGAGGTGGAAGAGGACACATTGATACTGTCCTTAGACTGTTACTACACCTCGTTTTTAAAAACGAAGTGATTGACATAAGTGACCACCTGGAAGTATTGGTGAAAAAGCCCTAACCGTATGGTTTGCAAGCATACAAAGGCAGAAGAGGGCTTTTCTTTTGTAGGGAGTAGGAAAGAAGAGTAGGAAAAGTTAGGGGAGAGGAGAACTTTCCCCCTGAGGTCCGCCTGTGCTTGGGTAACGCTAAAGAGGGGTTTATGTGCTGGCTCAGGCTGAGGTGGGTCAGACCTGGAAAAAGGAGAGATACAAGGAAAGTTTGCTTATTTAAGTGTTTTGTTTCTTTTCTACTGATCAGTTTAGTTAATCATTAAGCCCAAAGTGGGAATTTGTAAAGCGTGTATCTGGCCTTGTTGGTTTAAAAAAAAAAAAAATGGGAACATTTTCTAAGTGTAAAGGGATAGTGTTCGTTTGGGGTAGGATGTTTCTCCAAATCAAAGTATTGGAGGTAGGAGATTTTTGATCACTGCTCTTTACCAAGATTAGAGCTCTTGGTTAAAATTCAACATTTTATGCTGTTTGCTTTTATATTCACAGTGTTAGTCTGGTCAGAGTGCAATGTATGTTAATTGAGAAAACCTGTGAGGTACAGTCTGAGAGACACCTTTGGTGTCTATCTGCTGGAGAAAATGGCTTATGAATTTGAGGTTTTATTTTGGTGTATAGTATAAACAACAACAACAACAAATGGTCTTTGTCCCAGCTTCTGGCAAGCTTAACCCTCGGAATTTCTGAACAGTAGGAATCTCTTTGATTAGTTATCATAAGCCTCTTTCAGGCAATGTCTGAATTTATGCTAATGAGGAAACTCAAGGTGTTACCTTTCTTTAACTTCTATGGGAATTGGTGACCAGACAGAGCAAACACCTCCTTTGAACTGGCATCTGCAGTGGAGACAGTGGTCAGACTGAACCCTGAATTTTTCAGGACTGTGCTAAATCTGGGTGGTATCAGAATTAAATTGTGGGACACTTTCTTGGAGAATTGGTTGGTGTTGAGCAAACAGCACACCTTTGGAGTCAGAAGTGATGTCGATAAAACACAACAGGTTGGAATTTTCCAATTGCTTTGAGTGATAGTTTGGTCACTTGTCAGAATCGAACCTGTGGAGGAGGGAGATTTTTTTATGCTGAGAGGAGGGGCAAGTATAGTGTGGGGAGATTCCAGAATTCCATTTCCTGGCTACTCAGGTTTCCCCGCACATTGTGGGAGGAAGCCCCCCTGGGCTGCAACTGCACAGTGAGAGTGGTCTATAAATTTAGGAGTGTGTTTGACCTGTGAAGCCTATTGCTTTCTTTTGTTTCCTTGATATAATTGTCCTTCTCAAAAAATAGCAGTTTACTTCACCATTTAAGAATTGTCCTTTTTAATGTTAGTGCAGTATGGTGATTTTCTTGTTTGGAACCTGAGAGTGGGATGATGAGTTTCATACTAAATTTAGGTAAGAATATAAATATTGGAGGACTCACCATGCAGGTGAATAAATAGGTTACTTCTGGTGTGTCTTCCTGATTTCATCTTTGTTTGCACCCAGAGATGACCACAAGATGCAGTTTTTGGTATTCTTTATAGCTTTCTCATGTGTTTTATTACTAAGCAGAGTTTTTAGATTAATTTTTTGTTTATATATGACATTACAATTCCTATTACACATATAGAGCACAAATTTTCATATCTCTGGTTGTATAGAAAGTATATTCACACCAATTCATGTCTTCATACATGTACTTTGGATAATAATGTGTAGGTGATAGAGTGATGGATAAATTTAAAGGCATTGGAGATTTTTTTTTTCTTTTCAAGTATTGGTGATTGAACTCGGGGCACTCTTATCACTGAACTCCATCTCTAGTCTTTTTTTTTCCCCCCCTTGAGATAGGGTCTCATTAAGTTGTCCAGACTGGTCTTGAACTATGATCCTCCTGCCTCAGCTTCCCCAGTTGCTGAGATTATAGGCAGGGGCCACCACACCCAGCTAGTAAGGAATTTTGGTAGCATATGAATTTATCATCTGACTTTTATATGTAGTGCTGAGAATCAAACCCAGTGCCTCAAACATACTAGGCAAGTGCTCTACCACTGAGCCACAACCCCAGCCCTAATAAATCTAATTTTTGTCCAGCTATTATAAACAGCATCTCTATGTTTATATTTTGGTTTTGTCGATGACATCTGGTGTAGGCTTTCATGTTATATTAAATTGTTTCTCTCTCCTGTATAAATAGTGTTGTGGTTTTAATTTCAAATCCAGTTGTTTGTATTTGATATGTAGGAAAATGTTGGATTTTGAAATATTAAGCTATAGTGAATACCACCTTACTTCTCCAAGTTTAGAAGAGTTGTTGATTTTAAATTTCTTTGTGTTTTTCTTCTGTGGACAGGAATATCCTCTTCTATATGCTTCCATGCTATTCTAGAAAGTGGAAAAATGTTAATTCCTTTTTTGGATGTTTTGTGGCAGTATTTAACCCTCAACACTCCTTCCCTTTGTGCTTCACATCAAGATAAAATGATGAAAAGGCTGGGGACTCCTCTTTTTTTTTGGAGCTGACAGGAAACTCAGACCAGGTTAGGTAAGCTATCACTTTTCTTGTCCCAAAGACTTTAAACAATCAGCCAGTGCATTGTGGTGAATGCCTGTAATGCCTGTAATCCTCCTGAGGCATGAAGATTGCAAGTTTGATACCAGCTTCAGTTTTGCAAGGCCCTAAGCAATTTAGTGAGATCTGGTCTCAAAATTTAAAAAAACAGAAAAAAAAAAGATTTTAAACATCATTAGACATTTTGTTGTCAAGTCAAAAGTGTGTTTTTGGAATTATAGAATTTTGTACATATGTATGAGAAGTGACATCTTCGTAATATTGAGCTCTTTCTAAAAACATGGGCTATCTTTTCCCTAATTTCATTGTCCCTTTACATCTCAAATAAAAACTATAACATTTTTCTTTTAGCCTAGTAAACTGTTCTCCATGAGTCTTAGTATTTAATTAAGGTTTGCCTATAAGAAACAATTAGAAACTTCCAAAGTTGTCTCTGTACAATCACAGATGATGTGCTCAGTTCCCTAAGTAACAAGTTGTGACAAGAGGTATTAAATAATATCTACCAGACTTGCTCATTAGAAATTCATCATCCATAGTGTACTTTGGGGGCTTATCAGGTAGGCTTCCTCTGATGAACCTGTCAGAAACCTGCAAACATTCACAGGGACAGTAGGAGTTAGACAAATATCATGTGGTGGCAGAAACTGGTTAGGAACAGCTAACCCCTCTTTAAAGGTAGGCTTCTGAGATCCATCCCAAGAGCAGTTCCCAAACACACTAGCAAAGGTCAAACTCTGTTCTCAAGCATTTCTGAGAACATGCAATCTCAGTACAGATGCTGTTAACTCTCTTGTGAACACTGAGTAGTAGTAGTTTGTTGTGAGAGGTGCTGTGCACACTCTGTACAAAGAGAAGTTGGGTGACCCAGCAGCATGACAGGTGTTCTTGTTCTGCTGTCACTTTATTAAATGGTTCCCTAGTCTAGTGTCAGAATTAGTGTGATGACCAAGAAGTGGAATGAACATTTTTTAAAGATTTTTAATTTGTTATTTTTAATTATACATGACAATAGACTATATTTTGACATATTATACATACGTGGAGTTTAACTTCCTATTCTTGTGTTTGTACATGATGTGGACTTACCCTGATTGTATATTCTTATATGATCAGAGGAAAGTTATGTCTGATTCATTCTACTGTCTTTTCGGTTCCCTCCCCCCTCCCTTCTCTTCATTCCCCTTTATCTAACCCAGTGAACTTCTATTCATCCATCCCCCACCCCTTATTGTATGATAGCATCCACATATCGGAAACAACATTTGGCCTTTGATTTTGGGAATTGGCTTATTTCATTAGCACGATAGTCTCCAATTCAAATGCTGTAATGTCATTCTTCTTTATGACTGAGTAATATGGAATGAACATTTAGAGAACATAGAATCATGTGATCTTACTATGTAGTGAATATGGATTTCCAGTAAAGCAAGTCTCACCTTTCCTGCTGGAAATGTGTGGGATGTTTTAGGAGTCAGTGACCTTTGAGGATGTGACTGTGAACTTCACCCTGGAGGAGTGGGCTTTGCTGGATCTTTCTCAAAAGAAGCTGTACAGAAATGTGATGCGGGAAACCTTCAGGAACCTGGCTTCTCTAGGTAAGAGTAACATCATTGCCTTATATAATCAATCAGAGAACAAGTGTTTCTTGTCATCAATGTTGCTTCATGATTTGGACTAAGTAAAGGAAAACTTTGATGAATATTCCAGTCATGAGCACATTATACCATGAACCTACCTAGGATTTAATACTGTAGTAATTTCTATAACACTGTAGTAATTCATAATGATTTTTTTGTCTACTCTTAGGAAGAGGACAGGAAGATGAGAGCATTAAAAATTACTACAAAAACTGCAGGAGAAATCTAAGGTAATTTACACTCACAAAAGAAAGCAGTGTCCCTCAAGAATCCTGGAGTGACAGGAAATTTTAAAAATGAGCAAATGAGGAAAAATAACTTCAGCTTCAAATTGATTAAATCTCAAAATATTTTTTAAAATGCATACAAGTTGAACATCCATAATTGAAAAATCCAAAATAAAAAGATGTTCCAATGTTGGAAACATGTGAAGCACCAATATCATGTCAACACAAGTGATATTTTTCTGATGTCTTAATGTATATGAACTTTGTTCCATGCACAATATTATTAAAAATGATGTATGAAATTCCTTGCAGGTGTGGGTATAAGGTATATATGATATAAAAGTAAATTTTGTGTTTAAGGTGGGGCACAGCCTCAAGATCTCATTATGTACATGCAAATATTTCAAAATCCAAAATGGATTTGGTCTTGAAATTTTTGCATAAGTGTTATGGTTTGGATGTGAGGTGTCTCCCAAAAGTTCATGTGAGACAATGTAAGATGGTTTAGAGGAGAAATGATTGGGTTATGAGAGCCTTAACCCAATCAGTGAGTTAATCATGCGTTAACTGAGTGGTAACTAGAGGCAAGTAGTGCATAGCTGGAGGAGGTGGGCATTGTGGGTGTGCCTTTGGGGCATATATTTTGTATCTGGCAAATAGTGTCTCTTTCTCTGCTTCTTGATTATCATATGAGCCAGTTCCTTCCACCACACTCTTCCACTATGATGTTAAGCCTTACCTCAAGCCCCAGCCAGTTGTTTATGGACTGAGACCTCTGAAACTATGAGCCCTCAAATAAACTTTTCCTCCTCTAAAGTTGTTCTCACCAAGTTTTTTAGCCACAGCAGTGAAAAGCTATCTAAAACAATAAGTAACACTCAACTGTATTTCAATGTGATATAAACATTCAGTGTAGTCAAATAATTACCTGGGAAATAGTATTAGAAACCTCATATGAGCTGGTATAGTAATTCCTGCCTGTAATCTCTTGTGAAAGAAATACAGAAGGATCAGAAATTTGAGGCCAGCCTCAACAAATTGAGACCCTGTCTCAAAAAGGATTGGGGATGTATCTCAATGGTAGAACTCTTGCCTTGCAGGTACAAGACCCTGCTTCTGTCTCCAGTACCACACACACACAAAAAAAAAAGTAAGAAAAGAAAAAAGAAACCTGATGTGAATACCACTGTTTTGATGATAACTGTTCTTAACCTATAGTGCAGGACATTCAGGACATTCATGTTCAGATATTCGTACATAAAAAGAGCATGTCTCATTAATAAACAAATCATTTGTTATGTACTGCTTCTATTTTTTTTTTTCCTTTACAGAAGTCAAGTTGTAGAGAGACTCTTTGAACATAAACTAGGTAGCAAATGTGGAAAAGTATTCAGCTGGTCTGCAGATCCTTTCCTGAATAAGAAAACTCCTTCAATAAAACCAGATGAAAGGCATGTGTGTAGAAAAGTCCTCGTTGGTCATTCATCCTTAAATGATACACACAGAACTCACTCTGGATACAAACCATATGAATATTGGGAATATGGAGAGAAACCTTATAAATGTAAGGAACATGGGAAAGCCTTCAGTTTTACCAAATGTTTTCTGAAGCATGAAAGAATTCACAGTGGAAATAAACACCATGAATGTAAGCAATGTGGGAAAACCTTCAGTTTTACCAAATGTTTTCTGAAGCATGAAAGAATTCACAGTGGAAATAAACACCATGAATGTAAGCAATGTGGGAAAACCTTCAGTTTTTCCAGTTATATTCAAATACATGAAAGAACTCACACTGGAGAGAAACCCTATAAATGTAAGCAATGTGGGAAATCTTTTGCCTGTTCCAGTTCTGTTCGGAAACATGAAAGGACTCACACTGGAGAGAAACCCCATGTATGTAAACAATGTGGTAAAGGCTTCAGGGATTACAGTTCCATTCGAACACATGAAAGAATTCACAGTGGAGAGAAACCTTATGGATGTAAGCAATGTGGGAAAGCCTTCCTTTCTTTGAGTAATTTTCGAAGACATGAACAAACTCATAGTGGAGAGAAACCATATGTTTGTAACCAGTGAGGGAAAGCTTTCTGTGTTCCCAGTTCCTTCAGAAAACATGAAAAAACTCACACGGCAAAGAAAGCCTATGTATGTAGGCAATGTGGGAAAGCTTTTGTTGATTATAGTTCCTTTCTAAGACATAACAGAACTCACACTGGAGAGAAACCCTTTGTATGTAGGCAATGTGGGAAAGCCTTTGGTTCTTCCAGTTATGTTCAAATACATGAAAGAACTCACACTGGAGAGAAACCCTTTGTATGCAAACAATGTGGGAAAGCCTTTAGTTCTTTCAGATACATGAAAGAGCTCACAGTGAAGAGAAACCCTATATATGTAAGCAGTGTGGGAAAGGCTACTATCATCCCAGTTCCCTCAAAAAACATGAAAGGACTCAGACTGGAGAGAAACCCTATGTATGTAAGCAATGTGGGAAAGCCTTTAGTTCATCTGGTTACATTCATATACATGAACGAACTCACACTGGTGAGAAGCCCTATGTGTGTAGGCAATGTGGAAAGGCCTTCAATCAATCCAGTTCCTTTTACAAACATGAAAGAACTCACACTGGGGCTGGGGTTCGATCCTTAGCACCACATAAGAATAAATAAGTGAAATAAAGGTATTGTTTCCAACTATAACTAAAAAATAAATATTAAAAAAAGAACTCACACTAAAGAATAACCTTAAATGTGAAATGTGGGAAGTCTTTTACTATCCTGTGGCCTTTTAGCAAAAATGAGAATGCAGAGTGGAGAGCCCTTTTATACATGTAAAGCACATGGGAATGCCTTTAGTCATCTTGATTCAATTCACAGACCTAAAAGAACACAACATGGAAAGAAATCTAGAATAAAAGAGGTGCACATAAGTCTTCAGTTGGCCTCTGTGTAAGAATGCACATTGGATTAAAGCCTTATAAATGAAAATACAAAAAGTCATCAGTTATAAGAAATAACTTTCTAAGTCCTGTGGAAGTGCCACATGTAGTGGGATCTTATAAATGCAAATAATATGAAGAGCTTGAAGCAAAGTAAGTTTTGTAGCATGCTTCAGAAAATACACAAGCTGAAGGAAATAAAATATATTTGTGTGTGTGTTTATCAGTGTTTCATAAATTAAATCTCTGGGGTATTGCCAATTTTACTCTTGAAAATAAATGTTGAGGTGACATAATTTTGTTTTGTTCAAGCAATACTGTATAAGTTTAATAGGTAGTATTTTGTTTTCATTTTGAGACGGGGTCTTGCTAAGTTGCTTAGAACTTTGTTTAATTGCTGAGGGTGGCTTTGAACTTGTGATCCCTGTCTCAGCCTCGTGAACTGCTGGGATGACACATGCACCATCACACCTGGTAATAGTATGTTTTTAAATCGGGGAGCAAAGTTTTTCTCCTTTTTTCTTATTTTAGTACCAGGGATTGATCCCCAGGGGCTCTTTCCTACTGAGCTACATCTCCAGTTCTTCTTATTTTTTATTTTGAGACAGGATCATGCTAGGTTTCTGAGGCTTGCCTTAGCCTCCTGAGTTGGAATTACAAGCATGTACCACCACACTGGCTTCTTTCATTTTTAGCATATTGATTGAAGTGGAATTTATTTGTAATATGCCAGTTGGCTTAATTTTTAAATAATTGTGGTTAATGAGCTGTCAAAAAATTAGTTTTTATTGATTGTTGGGATTTTTCTATTGGGATCATGTGGCAGGATGTGTGTGTTCATATATATATATGCCTCTTTATCAAAACAAATGACATTTTTCATGATTTTTATATTTTTTACTTCTTTTTTTTTTTAAATATTTATTTTTTTAGGTGTAGTTGGACACAACGTCTTTTATTTATTTTTATGTGGTGCTGAGGATCGAACCCAGGGCCGCCTCCTACGTGCTGGGCAAGTGTTCTACCGCTGAGCTACAACCCCAGTCCTATTTTTTACTTCTTGATATATATTTTCTTCAACAAGATTTCCATGCATGCTTTTTTAGAATGGGTTTTTAAAAACTCTTCCAATTTGTAGATTAACAAATGTCTTTTTCATTTTCTAAGAAGTCTGCAAATATCCCATCATAATCATGGATTAATTTATATGTTTACCACATTTTTTCTGTGATATTGAATCATTGTGGTTATGTACTTAAAATTTAAGGTGTTTTTTCCTCACGTAAATTATATCCTTCATGCTTACATTGTGAAAACTTATTTGATTGTAATTTGTTCCTCAGTCATCATACCAAAAGATACATCATGTTGGTGTGAGTTTCCTCTTGCCAGAGACCACTGAACCACAGTTTTTTTTTTTCAGTTTATATGAATTAATTATTGTAAAAAATCTCTCCACCCACCATAACTAATTGTTTGGTTCATCAGTAATAACATTCTCTATAGGATTGGTGTTGGTTTCGAAGGATTGGTGGCTATTCAGTGGACGCAGCGAGAAGGTGGATACAACTTATTCTTGGTAACCATAAGGTTCTTACCTGGAAGGCCAAAATAATGGGGGTGAAGAAAGACCTAATTCATGAGAAGCACCAGCCAGTTTCACAGTGAGAAGAGTGGAACTTTCCTTATTTAGGATTGGGGGGTTCAGAATGTCTTTCATTTTTACCAATTTTAGAAACACACATACTAGATGTCTTTGTTTTTTGCCTTGATCCATCCTAGTCACTGGGGGGCATTATCTGCTGTCAGAGGTATGTGACATGTCTCATAAGTCTTGGCCTTGCTGGAAGTGTGAGGCTGACTCCAGTCTTCTGGGTCTGTTTTTGTCTTTATCTCTTATTATAAACTCAAGTATTTCCTACGATGCACCTAACACTTATCCATAACTATAGATTTTCTTTAACTTCCAATGGTGTTACCATAAACCTGTGGTAAATAGTGAGAATCCTTGAAGAGAACAGATGTGGAGAAGTCTTTAATTGTCCCACATTTAAGAATGCTCACTGGGGGCTGGGGATGTAGCTCAAGTGGTAGCACGCTCGCCTGGCATGCGTGCGGCCTGGGTTCGATCCTCAGCACCACATACAAACAAAGATGTTGTGTCCTCCGAAAACTAAAAAATAATAAATATTCAAATTTTAAAAAAAAAAAAAAAAAAGAATGCTCACTGGATCAAAACCTTATAAATGTGAAATATATAAGACAGTTGTCATTTGTAACAAATAGTTTCCAAGTCTTCATATAGAGCAGTCCTATAAATGTAAGCAATAAAGATCTTGATGCAAAAGAATGTGTGTAGAATGCTGAAGAAGTTACATAAGCTGAAGAAAATGTTCTACAGTTTATGAATATAACATCAGTGGCTCATTCTTTTTTTAATATTTATTTTTTAGTTGTAGTTGCACATGATACCTTTATTTATATGTGGACCTGAGGATTGAACCCAGGGCCTTGCACATGGTAGGCGAGCGCTCTACCACAGAGCCATACCCCAGCCCCAGTGGCTCATTCTTAAAGTAGATCCCTAGACTCTTGCTAATTTTTACTTTTGAAAGTAAATATTGAGGCTACATACTTACACAAGTTTTGTTTAAGTAGTGTGAGTTTAATAGTTTCATTTTAAATCAAATCACATAATAAGTTTTTCTTCTTTCATTTTGAACCTTGTTGAGTCTGTGAATTAGAAATGTATTTCTAATCAACCACTGTGTGGTTAATGGTACCATTGAAAATGAGATTTTGTTAATTATGATTTTCCTATGGGGCTCATGTGTCAGGTTCTTACCTTTTACAGATATTTACTCATCTTTCTTTTTTCAAAACAAATGACATTTTTAAATGTCAGTGTGACTTCTTTTTTATAATCTTGACGTATATATATTTTTCAAATGGGATTTTGTACATTTTTAAAGAAAGGGTTTTCTTAACCTTCTAAACAATTGGTAGATTAACAAATGTTGTCTTTTTCATTTACTGAGAAGATATCTGCAAATATCCCATCATACATGTGGACTGGATCAATATATAAGTTTGCCACACTTTTTGTTTGAGGTTGATCATCATTAGGTGCTCACAACTAAAGGTGTTTTTGCCTCATATAAATTTTAGTTCTCATCCTTATGTTGTTAAAAATGATTATTTTGATTGTAACTTGTCCTTCCACCAAGGCCATAGTTTTTGTCAAACAGGATGCAGTGAACTAGTCAGTCCATCCAACATCTGTAAATGGCTATGTGGCTCATCAGTGAAGGCATTCTCCATAGAATGTCCATCAGTATGGGTATTTGTTTAGGGATTGGCTTGGATGCGGTGCAGTGAGGCATCTCCTTCTGTTGGATGTGCTGATGAGCTGAATGCATTTGATCTTTGGTAACCACATTAGTTCTACCGGAAGCCAAAGTAATGGAAAGAAAGCAAACCTAATTTATGAGATATATATGTCAGTCATCTTAGTGAGAATAGGGAAGTCCTGTTCATTTTTGTGACTCACAATGTATTCTGTTCTACCAGTATTTAAAGACAAATTTACAGGATGTCTGTGTTTTCATCTTGATCCATTTTATTCACTGAGGAACATTATCTGCTTTCAGAGGTGTGTGATAGTGTCTTCATAAGGCCTTGCTATGTGAGTCTGGCTCTAGTTTTTGCCTTTGTCACTTATTATATTTCCTACATTGCATTGGACAGTGTTCTCGATTCCACCGTGCAGCCAGCACGCTGGTTTCATACAAGAGGTTTGTAGCATAGAAGTTAACTAGTGAGATCAAAATAAACACACAAGACTCAATTACCTTTTTCTTTGACCAGGTCCGAGACAGCCCTCCCTCTAGCTCTCGCCTGGAACCACCCGGTGGGGCAGCAAAGCTGACTCAGGACTAGCAGGAGAGAGAGAGAGAGGGCACGCCAGGGAGTGGCCTTTTATTGGGGAACAAGAAATTCAGGGGAAAATTCCATCCAATGAAGGTCGAGGGGGGCAGCATTCCAAGGTCAAGGTCAGTGATTGGTCTCAGGGTCAATGGTCAGTCACACCCCCACACGGACAGGCTCTCGCACCTGGAGAGGGCGGGGATAAGCTCCAATACAGTTTGGCCAGAACGCCTCACACCCAATCAGGGAGGTGCCCAATCACATGCAAGAATGGCTTCCCACACTCGATGAATACAGATACCTTTCAACTTTCAATGTTGTTATCATAAGCCCACACTAAGGTGACAATATCATAAATTCATATGTTAAATGTGAATTTATGATATTGTATAAAATGTGCTTAAAGCAGGTAACTTACTGAACATCACAGTTGAGCCTAGACTACCTAGAATTTGATGAGATCACTTATATTATCCTATGGGCTATTTAATAATAAAATATTAAAATATCTCATTTAATTCATTGAATACAGAACACTGTGCAATATCAGTTTTTATGGTCCTGAAAAGGGAGCCAAATGGACTGCAATCACCACAGCTCTCCAGCCTCATCAAAAAGCGCAGTAGTGCATACCACTACCCCAGCATGAGATTAGACTTTGAAAACCAAAGTCATTTTCTCCTGAACACATTCACTTTCTCACCATTTTCACAGTGAGAAGTTGTAAGTCAAACCCTCATAAGGTAGTGATCATCCTCATGTCAGTTAAATATATAAATTCACTTACTCCTTAGCATGATTATAATAATTCTCTTTAAATTTCCTTTATGAGTCTAAGGAGTGCAATATGTTCAGGTAAATTATCAGCAGAAGCCTTGGAAAGGACAGACAGTATCACTGTTGCAATCAAGCTTTTGTTTTTCAGAAGTTATGCCTTTGATGGTGAAGTTCTAAGCAGCCCTTGTGTGCCAGCATGCTAGACTGGAGATGTAGAATTAAGCAGGAATAATCCGGGCATGCTATACTCTAAATACAGTAGCAATGTGAAAAAAATTACTCTTGCCAATGCTAGTGTTTATATTTTTGTGAGAAAAGTGAGGTGGTGAACTCATGTTGAAACTTCCATTCATAAGATGAAATAAGGGCTATGAATGAAAGAAATTAACGATGGCAGGTGACAATATAGAAACTGGGGTGTCTGCTCTGTGAAGGGTCAGTGTGTGAGTAAGTGAGGATGGCATTGTTGATCGCGTCTGTTTCCATACCCACTGCCTCCCTCCTTAACAGCATGTCCAC